TGCCATTTGCTTCCCTTCTTAGTATTAGGGTACTGCAAGCTGTCATCTGGAGTGCTGCAAGATGCCTTGGGTGAGTATTGCCCAGTGAGACGCTGCTGTGACTCACTGCTGCAGGTGAAAAGAAAAAGTGAAGTTGTGGAACTGTTAGGTGCCTTTGGACTTAGAATTGCTGGTCAACATTGCTGTGAGCCCTCCTGTTGCCATCCCTGCCGCAACCCATCTCATTCATGTCTTTCACTGTCACCTCCATCTCAACTATTCTGCTCATCAGGCCACCAACCTGAACATACTGTAAATCACAACTCAAAGTTTTACTGCTTGTATCTTCTCCTGCACCAAATCCTGTTCCCCAACCACCCTTTTCCTTGCAGACCTATGCTAGAAGATCTTTCAATGTTTCCAATTATGTTTTTTTTATTGTTTTGTCTATTTGTATCTTTTGCTTTCTCCACCCACCCTGCAATACCCAAAAATATTGTTTCTCTGACTCTTTGCTTGAATAGGTTTGAACTCTTTGTCCCGCTATTGTTAGCTGTGCCTTGAATCATCTAATTCCTATTCTCTGGCATTCTCTTCCTCACACTCTTCTTTCAAGATTTGCTTTAAAGTTCAGATTTTTGAACAGACATTTGCTCACCATACTTAATATTTCCCCTTGCTTGGTAACCATCAAGCCTCTGTGGAGCATCAGTTTTCTACATTAAAGGTGCTTTGTAAATGCACATTGTTGGTTTTATTGCTTTTAAGGTTTATTGTGGTTTTTAAAACTGGAATATTGTTTAGAGTCACAAATTAGTTTTAAAATGGCAAATGCGGTTTTATTTCTTAAGTTTCTCCCTTTTGCCCCACTATAAAAACATCAGTTTTTTTTCTATCACATTTGCACTGTTTGTGTGGGACTTTCATATACTTCTATGGGAGACCTTTGTTGTGCATCCATGGAGTGTTAGCTCCAGTCCACAAGAGTTGAACTGCAGTGGAATATGTGGCAGTTTCAGCCATTTCCATAATCAATTTTCCTGTCCTTGAACAATCACTGAGAAAGGGAATAGTTGACATGCAACCATTGACAATTTGAGATGGAATATGATACTAGATGCTGAAGTACTTGTGTGAGTATTGATTTCAAGACAGGCTTCAATACAGCTACAGAATTGTAGGATAAAATCTCAAACTTGTATCACACTGAAATTGATATTGAACCCACCTATTGGGGTAACTGGGCTTATAATGTTTTTTCCTCCACCATTCTGGTTCCTTCCAAATTTTCCCACACTCACAGAATTCACTCTGATTTCTTTGCCTTGTCCCCTATCCAGGCTGAGAAGCAACAAGGTCACCCCTACCACCTGCACCAGGCCAGTTGACCTGCAATTTGGCCTTTTCCAATGCCTTCTCTCTTTTCCCTTGTCTTGTTGAAAGGAAACTCTAACCACAGACCCCTCCCTGGCAACTTAGCTTGGAACTGGTTCATTTTTCCCAAACCGTTCATCCACACAGGACTCTGCAAACCCAAATAAGATGAAAAGCTGCTCTGAACCACTGTCTTTATTCACTTACTAATCTAAAATTTAAATTCATTCATGGGATGAGGGCATCGCCAGGTAGGCCAGCAATTATTGCCCATCCCTAATTGCTCAGAGAGCAGATTAAGAGTTAACCACGTTGCTGTGGGTCTGGAATCACATGTAGGCCAGACAAATAAAGATGGCAGTTTCCTTCCCTAAAGGACATTAATGAACCAGGTGAGGTTTTCCAACAATCGACAATGGATTCATGGTCATCATTAGATTCTTAACTCCAGATTTTTATTGAATATTTTGCATCAGTGTTTAATGTGCAGGAGGATATGGAAGCTAGAGAACTTGGGGAAATAAATGGCGACATCTTGAAGTGTCCATGTTACAGAGGAGAGGTACTGGACATCTTAAAATGCATAAAGGTGGACAAATCCCTGGCACCTGATCAGGTGTACCCTAGAACTTTGTGGGAAGCTAGGGAAGTGATTGCTGGGCCCCTTGCTGAGATATTTGTATCATTGATAGCCACAGGCGAGGTGCCGGAAGACTGGAGGTTTGTTAACGTGGTACCACTATTTAAAAAAGGTGATAAGGAAAAGCCAAGGAACTATAGACCTGTGAGCCTGGCGTCATTGGTGGGCAAGTTCCTTTATTCTTTTATTCATTCACGGGATGAGGGCGTCACTGGCTAGGCAACATTTATTGCCCATCCCTAATTGCCCAGAGGGCAGTTCAGAGTCAACCACATTGCTGTGGGTCTGGAATCACGTGTAGGCCAGACCAGGTAAGGATGGCAGTTTCCTTCCCTAAGGGACATTAGTGAACCAGGTGGGTTTTTCCGACCATCGACAATGGATTCATGGCCATAATTTGATTCTTAATTCCAGATATTATATTGAATTCAAATTCCACCACCTGGGTGCCCAGAATGTTACCTAGGTCTCTGGATTAACAGTCCAGCGATAGTGCCACTAGGCCATCGCCTCCCTGATGATGTTGGAGGAGATCCTGATGGACAGGATTTATATGTATTTGGAAAGACAAGAACTGATTAGGGATTGTCAGCATGGCTTTGTGCGTGGGAAATCATATCTCACTTAACTTGATTGAGTTTTTTGAAGAAGTAATGAAGGCAGAGTGGTGGATGTGATCTATATGGACTTCAGTATAGCATTCGACAAGGTTCTGCGTGGTAGGCTGGTTAGCAAGGTTAGATCACATGGAATACTGGGAGACCTAGCTATTTGGATACAGAACTGGCTCAGAGGTAGGAGACAGAGGGTGGTGGTGGAGGGTTGTTTTTCAGATCGGAGGTCCGTGACCAGTAGTGTGCCATAAGGATCGGTGTTTGGTCCATTGCTTTTTGTGATTTGTATAATTGATTTAGATGTGAACACAGGAGGTATGGTTAGCAAATTTGCAGATGACACCAAAGTTAGTGGTGTAGTGGACAGCAAAGAAGGTTACTCAAATGGGCCAATGGGCCGAGAAGTGGCAGATGGAGTTTAATTTGGATAAATGTGAGGTGCTGCATTTTGGAAAGGCAAATCAGGGCCGTTCTTATGTACTTAATGATAAGGCCCAGGGGAGTGTTCCTGAACAAAGAGACCTTGGAGAGCAGGTTCATAGTTCCTTGAACGTGGAGTCACAGGTAGATGGGAGAGTGAAGAAGGCATTTGGTATGTTTGCCTTTATTGGTCAATGCCTTGAGTGCAGGAGTTGGGAGGTCACATTGTGGCTGTACAGGACACTGGTTAGGCCACTTTTGGAATACTGCATGCAATTCTGGTCTCCCTGCAATAGGAATGATGTTGTGAAACTTGCAAGGGTTCAGAAAAGATTTACAAGGACGTTGCCAGGGTTGGAGGGTTTGAGCTATAGGGAGAGGCTGAATACGCTGGGGCTATTTTCCCTGGAACGTCGGACGCTGAGAGGTGACCTTACAGAAGTTTATAAAATCATGAGGGGCATGGATAAGGTGAATACCTAAGATCTTTTCCCAAGGGTAGGGGAGTCCAAAACTAGAGGGCATAGATTTAAGTTAAGAGTGGAAAGATTTAAAAGGACCTAAGGGGCAACATTTTAACGTAGAGGGTGGTGCGTGTATAGAATGAGCTGCCAGAGGAAGTGGTGGAGGCAGTATAATTGCAACATTTAAAAGGCATTTGGATGGGTATATGAATAGGAAGGGTTTAGAGGGGTATGGGCTGAATGGGACTAGAATAATTTAGCAATGTGACTCACTTGGACAAGTTGCACCAAAGGGTCTGTTTCCATACTATACAGCTTTATGACTCTATGAATTTAAATTGCACCATCTGCTGTAGCAGATTTGAACCTGTGTTCGCTGGACATTACCTGGGTGTCTGAATTAATAGCCTAGTGATAATACCATTACGCTATCGCCTCTCCTAAATGAGACATACATCATGTATTTCTCCTCCTCCTCCTCCCACCCGCCTGCATAAGTGTAAATCCCTTCCCACCAATTGTGAAGAAATTGGACTGTTGCTCATTGTAATCCTTCTATTTCAATGAGAAATATTTTGGCCCCAGATGTGCCATCCCTACTCCCCTATTATTCTATTCTCTCCTCCCCACCGCCCCCCCATCACTTTTTATTTGTTTTTTCCTCATAACCACCACTACCCCAGCCAACTCCTAGCCTTGCTTGGTCTGAATACTGCAGTTAAGCTTTCATCCCAATATTCAACACCAGTTGGTCACCAATTGTTCATTACTGACAAAGGAGGGAATATGTTTTTTTTTAAAAAATCAACTTCATAACTTGTATTTGAACCTTGTAAATGAAAAATAAGGTTATTGAAAATGAAAGTGTGTGAGTATACTTATATTGGTGCTTACTTTTAATAGAGGCCCATGTGATCCTGGTTAGATTGAAAGTGCAAAGTTTAGCAGTGTGTGTTAAATTACATATATGTTGAACTGTATACTGTTGAGGACAGCAATTGTGCTGCTGTATTTGTGTCAAGTGTCTAGTGCAATCAAAATCCGCACTCTCACTGTTTCCAGCTGTCGAAATACTGGATATTGTTGAGGCTCATGTCATGACCAATTTACATGCATATTATCTTTTACCACCCCTTCCTATTTGTTATCCCTGAGGCCAGAGGTTTTTAGTTTCATGGAAAAACAAACTAAATTGTGGAAAAGAGGTCACAAAGCATTATAAAACTCTTGAAATCCGCACTGCTGGTCTTGGTCATAAGCTTTTTGTTCAGTAATCTTTCTCAAATATATGCTGTGGTTTGGTTGGTAACTTTTTCTGAAACCATATTTTGTTGGTTTTCCTGAGTTCTTGAGGTTGGCCAATCATCGTTCTACTATCATAGTGAAGAGCAACCAATTCTTTGTTGAAATAAGAATTTTTGAATTCAATCCATAAGTACTACTGGGGGACTGACAAAGAAGGGGGAGCTTTTCAACAAGTGTGCCTTTGATTTTTTTTTTCTGTTTTAGATCTAACATGTCAAACTTACACCTAACGAAGAAGGGCAGGGAAGAACAACGGCTAAATCTGCATCGAAACTTCACAGTCGCTTCCCCTGCAGAATTTGTAATTCGGTTTGGTGGGAACCGGGTTATTGAAAAGGTATTCGGCATGTGGTATGTGGTTTGTGAAACGGAATTGATTGGTCTTTTGTAGAATGTGCTTAAAATTGGATTGCATAGAACGCCACAGAAAATATGAAGGGATATATTTTTCTCCCAATGATCCAGGTTCTGAATTATGAGAGAAAAATCTATTTGCATGTTCAACCATAAAAATGCATATTACACATAACAAAGTACATGAAAATGTAAAAAAGAGCACTTGCGGAAAATGAGACGATAATTTGCAGGGACAGAAACAAGTTATATGGACCAATAAACTAGTCCCATCTTGATAAGTTAGCTTCATTCAGTACTGTTCATGTGTTTTTGATTTCTATTCTCTCTCAGATCAGTATATATTATTCTATTTAATAGCCTTCTTTGGTAACTTGTTCAATACCCTAATTGCATGAAAATATTCCTCTCACATCCCAGATTCTTCATATTTCCCAATTTTTAACTTGTCTTCCTTAATATTTCAACAAATTACCAGAATGAACAACTTTTTTAAATTTGGTATCAGATTGGCCTGATGACATTATGATTTTGAAAATTGCAACTGTATTCTTTTTAAAAATTCCTTTCCAAATAAATTACTCAGTTTCCCTAGGCTTCCCTCAAAACCTAAAGGTATTCATAGCTGCATTTTGCAGCATTTTCTGTTCAAACTTCTGTTTCACGCTTAGTCCTTCATTGTCCGTATGTTCCAGTGTTGCACCACATATTACAAGATCATAGCAGAAAATGAAAATGAATCACCTTATGGTCGGAAAAGAACAATATAACGTGCGTTATAAACAGAATAATTCCCTGATGCACTGCACATTTTTGAAGAGGTTATGATTATGTATAATCCTCACCCCATTGACTTGTGCCATTACTCTTTACCAGGTTCTGATTGCCAACAATGGCATTGCAGCTGTTAAATGTATGCGGTCCATCCGCAGATGGTCCTACGAAATGTTTCGAAACGAAAGAGCAGTTAGGTTTGTTGTCATGGTTACTCCTGAAGATCTGAAGGCCAACGCAGGTATGCTTTAGGAATTGTGTGCACACAAGATTGTTTAATAATGTTATTGCAAAACCGTTGGAATTTTAAGTTCTGGAAATTACCATCCTCATTGATGTGGAATGATATTCCTTTTAGAATACATCAAAATGGCAGATCAGTATGTACCAGTCTCTGGAGGACCCAACAACAATAATTATGCTAATGTAGAGCTGATTGTGGACATTGCAAAGAGAATCCCAGTGCAGGTAAATTACAATGTATAATTTATTGTATTGTTGCAAATAATTTAGAATGGAATGGGGAGTGATGATTTTTTTCCGATGCATAATTTTTATTTAAAGTTTTACCTTTCCTTTCGTGTAATTCATGTTTCTACTTTTCCCAGCCCAAACTATGGATTGTCCAAGTTTTCAATGAAGCGTGCATTCCTGATTCTTTATAGAATTTTTTTCCTACCATTTCTTGTCACAATGTATCATCCTTTTATTTTGAAAAGCAAAACTAATAAAGATTAAACAAGGTTATGAACTTAAATGAAATTGTCTATGCCTTTGAACATGCCCCCCAGTTGTGATCTGCCACTGGACCTCCCTTCCCTCTCCTAATTCTCTGTGTGTGCGCAGCTATTTCCTAACACACTGTTCAACTTTAGAATACATGCCCTGTTAACAACATAATAGTTATTGTCTATTGGGCAAGAGAATGTGTCATACCATTAGGATCTACTACCTTTCCTGTGCTCCCTTAGAGTTTTGCTAATTAGTGCTGAAAATTGATCTGGAAAGAAAAGTGGTTTACTAGGTAAGGCCTAGCTTTCATTGGCCAACTTGGGTGCTTTACGAAAATAAATAATCACCTCAGAAAGAAAAATTACAAAGATAATTTCAAAATAAATCAAAAGAAACTTCTCCGTATTAGATATGAAAGTGTAGCATCAATTACTGGCAGATTGCATTTTACAAACAATGATAGACTACACACTTAAAGTAACATCTAAAATCAGGAGGGGGAGACCCAAGTGAAACTAAGTAACACATGGGGATCAGGGAATGAGCAGAAGAAAGGAAATTCTTGGTGCACATATTGCAGGCAGTTGTGTAAAGCCTGAATCCTCAGGATCTAAATCGGGTTAGAAAAATGTTTTCATTGGAAATTCTACCTGCATTTGAGATGTGCCACCTTAATCTCATTGATGTATTACCACAAAATAACGATAACTTAAGTGCTATATCTCAGCAATGTTTGAACTTGGAATTCTTGTGTTCCTCCAGGCAGTTTGGGCCGGCTGGGGACATGCCTCTGAGAACCCTAAACTTCCAGAACTCCTTCAGAAATATAACATTGCATTTCTAGGTGAGATTTGTTTTCAATAAGGAATCACCGAATTGAGGAGAGTAATCTGGTCCTATGCTCAAGTGCATTCTCCAAGAATCCAAATTTCCCTTAGTATTCTGTTAACCAAGCATTTCCTGAAATGGTGAGAACAGTGGTTTGTGCATAGAAGGATAAGATGAAATAAGATGGATTACAAACATCATCATTGGTCTGTTGAACTTAATACCCTATTATAAAAACAAAATATTACAGATGTTGGAAATCTTAATCGCAAACTGAAAGCGCTGCAAAATTGAAGCAAATCTGGCAGCATCTGTGGCAAAAGAAGCATTTTGACTCCAGTATATATTTTTTTTCTTTGGAATGGAGCAGCTTGGCATGCACCACCCAGTTTCTCAGGTTCACTGTGCAGTCTAACCAGATTTCCTGAAAGGAACTGCTGGAGGCTGTCAACATAAAGTTACTTTCTTTTAACTATAGTGGCATGGGAAGGAAGAAGGGCTCAGGATTTCTGCAGGTTAAAATGAATCCATACTTTTCCCCCACCCACCATCTCATTCTCCCCTTCCAACCCCAACCTTTCCCTCTCCCAACAGACTGCCTGAGAGATGCTAAACAAGCCTAATTCCATTGATGTGGCATTTCATTCATGAAATAATTCAGGGATTTATGATGCCATAATGATTCTAGATAAAGATAGATGAAAAGTTTCTCTTCTTTATTTTTCATATGGAAGGATTAAAACGGTGAGAGAATTAATTTATACTATCATTTGCTCTTAAAAATCTGACCTGTGATTAACTATAGAATACTAAACACATTGAAGTAAGTCAATCACAATTGTAGAAAGATTAGAGTTGATAGGTCCCATCTTTTAACACAAGTTTTATAGACATTTGAGTATAAGCTGAATATGAAGTCACAGTATTCAATAAGCACTCAATTCTGTTTTCTCAGTTTGACCTCCATTTGTTTTTAAGTGTGTCATTTCTTATAGGTCCTTCAAGTCAGGCTATGTGGGCACTAGGAGATAAAATAGCCTCCTCCATTGTAGCACAGACTGCAGGGATCCCAACATTGCCTTGGAGTGGAAACGGTAAGGGGACAGACTGGTTTCATGGATAACACTTTTACATCAGTAGAAATAGGAGATAGTGGAAAGAATATTTGCATTGTGCATTTGTTCCCTGTGTCGAACAGTCTTTCACAATATGAAATATTTTTACGTTAATGTAGAGCGGATCAAATTATCTGTATGATTTTGACAAAGCTATCAAAGTAAGTTGACTCAGAAACCATCATGGCTATTTAAGATAAAATTGTTATGTTGTTAAAGAAAATTACCTTGAACAGTATGACTTTGCAATCAAACCCATTATGATCTGCAATTCTAAGTCTTTAGTGAAGTCTTTGGTTTTAATGGGACTTAAACTTCAGCAAGGAAGGATATTTAAAGCTGCAGCCCCAGAAAAATAGGTTGTCAACTGATGGAGCACTAACTACAGTATTTCAGTATGAGATGTTATTGAGTGGAGGGGAAAAATGGAAAAGAATTGGAGTGATCAATCAAATAAATGACTGAAAGTACATTGTTATTCCTCCTCAGTTGACACACTTGACTTCATTCTTTCAGTTTTGCATTTTGTTTTTAAATTTGATTGCAAATAAGGAAGTATCAATATTTGCTCTGGCTATCATGTGTATCTGACCAAGAGTGATCCTTTCCCCACTTGAAACGCACATGTGTAGGACTATGTATGATGCAGATCTAAGTTAATAATTATGCTAGTTCAGACACTGTATGTGAATAGAAAGGCTATCTTGTCTTGAGCCAGAGAAATGAGATCAAGGAAGTATAAAAGTGTCATGACTTTTTTAAACTTAACCGTTTTCTACTTTTCATCTTTGACTCTTGAGAAACTCGTATGTTGCAAATGCATGCATTTATCTGTATGTATCACGAGGTGATCTGTTCAGTTTCACTAAATTTCTTACTTCACTTGAGCTAACCACTCAGGTCAACCAACTCAACACATACCAGGGATTGATCTTTTAAATCTGATTGTTCAGTTCCGCACTGTAAATGTATTTACTGTAGTAACTGCAGCACAGTGAAACCCTTCCTCCTCAGCTTTAAGAAAAATAACACCGTGTAATCTACTTTGTAGAAGCTTGCCTTGCAGCAAATTTTAACTTTATTCAAAGAAAATATAGTACAGTGGGTGATATATAAAACCTGACAGCCCAAAAATTTCAAACGTTTGCTGAAGATTAGTTGAAATTCTCCTGCTATTGTAATAACTTTTGGGGACTTTTGAAATAGAAACAGCAATAATCATGAAGCAATTACTCTAAGGCCAATTAATTATCTTTTGTTGTATGACTTGTACGGTGCAGAGAGAGTTTGATCATTTTGGTTAGTGTGCTTGCTGCATAATGACCAACATTATAAACGAGCAGGAATTATAACTTGGTTTCATCAATGGGCAAATGTAAATATACTATCAATGAACTGTATATGCTGAAAGATGCCAGCTCCATTTTATGTCTATTGAATTAGCTTATCTTGTTTTGTGCGTAAATGGAAGTGCTGTAATTAACTCAATAGCCCTGGTTGGGGAGGAGAGAAAATCGACTGGCTTTCCCAATTAACTCTGCATGGGTGGCATAGCCTTCCATGAACACACCTGTCCCAAATTTAATCCACAGCTGACACCCTCCCATCCAGTGAAATACTTCCCTACTACTAAACTTGTCACAGAGAGAGCATTCAATTCCATCCAGTATCTCTTACTTATTTGCATAGATATTAAATATTTTGTCTCCTGCATCACTTAGATCTGATTCTTGAATGGACAGAGGAAGATCAGAAACTGAAGAAGATTGTCAGTGTTCCTAAAGAAGTGTACATGAATGGCTGTGTACGAGATGCCACTGAAGGTTTAGAGGTGAGAACTAATGTACCTTTGACAAAGCAGATAAAGATGAGAACCATTGCTAGTTGTATGTGGCATGTATGTCAATGATAATGTTTCTTCATGTGGTGAAATTATAATCTCCAGTGAGTCCTGTGTAAGTTATTTGCTGAAAACAAGAGATGGAAAAAATGAATAGTGACCCTGTGAGCAACAGATAAGTTCAGTTTTGGAACCAAGTCTACCCATTCTTTGAGGCATTGGTGTCTGCATAGGAGGCAGTGATAAGCTTTGAAATTCAGTGAATTTAGCTGGTAATGCGTGTGATGTAATGCTAATTGTCATGAGAATCACAGGTTCAAATAACTACTGTCTGTTGGAGGAGTGCAATTGTTATTGTATTTTGGTTTTCTATTTTATGTTAATTAGGTGCAGCATCAAAGTTCTCTTGATCCAGCTCAAGTGTAGCATCTATTAGTTGTAGAACAAAGCTCCTTCTGTTCTGTCAACATGCATTAGATTTCGTATATTAAGCAATATTTTGTGTATTTTTTCAATATCCATAGTTAAAAATTCTCTCTACTTTAAATTGTGCAATAATGTACTGGTTGAGAGAGAGATCATCTATTAGTCTGAATGTTACAATGTCAGATCCCTACCCTTCTCTCCACCAAATAACCCTCACAACACCATCATTAGCTGTATCAGGATGCTCTGATAGAAGCAGAAATGCAACAGTTTGCATTGTGATACGTATGGGCTTGTACTGTGAGCCAGAGCCTTATTCATCTCAGAGGTCAGAGTATGGGGATTAGCAGTTCCCTTCTCCAGCTCTGCTAAAGACACTAGTGAAACACCTCCCAGGAATAATGGAATTTTATATATTTTCTTTAAACAGAAGCCTGATGGGTTGATCATGGGTGGGAACCTATTGGAAGGCAATTATTATTTAAATTCATAATCTTAATTGTATGTGGCTGTTTTAGTCTGTGATTGGCTAATAGTGGCTTTGGAGCTTATATGCCATAACATGAAACTGGTTTGAATATTCTTAAATTCAGAGTAAAGAGGGCAACAGGCATTGTAAAGTAAAGGAAACTGAATTTTCTTGGACTAAGTCAGGGGCATCTCTGAGCTATGGGCTGGCCCCTCATGTCAACTGTTTACGTCAAAGGAGAAGATGATAGATCTAGTCAGCTGAGGATAACAGAGCATCTGACAATTACTTACTGTGGCTCCTTCATTGCTGACTGGCTGATGCAGATGTCTCAGACTGAAAGAAGCCAATGGTGAATATATTAAGCATTTTGGTGACTTTAAAAATCATTGGCAAGAGATGTTCCTGGTTCAACAGATCCTGTTGCAAGAGATTACAATTAATGGTATCAGAATCAATGTGCCATTTTAACCAAACTGGTGCAGGAGAAACTGGGGCTGGTAGAGAAAGTTTTTCTTTTTGTTCCCATATGAATTCCTGCTCCAACAGACCCTGCAAAAAAAATTTTGGGGGCTTTCCTTGCCCTGGACTTCCCGTATACCTTTCTACACCTCTTTCCTGGGCACTGGGGCAAAGCTAGATAGCTGCTTGTTCCAGCTAATTTCAGGTGGAGATAAACAAGACTTTTGCACATTAGGCCCGTGAGTTAGAAGTTTTGGAGCCCTATCACTGGAGGTCTAGATGATTTTCCATCACTTGGCCTCTGCCCATATCATTTCTCTCAAGTTATATTGGTCCCCTTCCTGCAAGTATCTGCACTTCCTTTATTTTACTGCAGCAGTTCTTTCAGGGTGATCACTGGTATACCCTCATCCTACTTGTCATAGTCTTCCTATGACCGTCCATTTTAGGCCAAGAGCTCATGTTAGGACAGACCTAATGTAGATTTGTTGTGAAGTTGTATTACTCCAGCCACACTCCAAAGCTATGTTTTAAGTGTCTTAATCAGGAAACGTCCCTGAATGTATTTGTGAATGAAGTGAGTTATTTATTTCAGGTCGCTTGTAACTCGGTATCAGGTTGAAGCAAACTAAATACTTGGGTGAATTATTAGTCCATATTTTTCTGTGGATCTCACTTTGCTCTGGATTATATCCCAACAACAGCAGTTTGTGCACTGGAAAGATTTACAGCTGCTTCATCTTCCTCTTGTCAAAGTTATACACTGACATTCAGAGTGCAGTAGAGAGGGACCGTCATTGTGTTGAAGGCGCTGTCTTTTGGATGAGAGTTGAACTGAGGCACCATCTGCCTGTTCTGGTGGATGTAAAAGATTCCATGCCACGACTTGGAAGAAGAGCAACGGAGCTGGTTTTCCCTGGTATCTTGGCCAATATTTATCCCTTAATCAACATCACAAAAATAGTTTATGAACAAAATATTGTGGATGCTGGAAATCTGAAATAAAAACAAAGTGCTGAAGAAACCCAGCAGGTCTGGCAGCGTCTGTGGAGAGGGAAATAGCTACTATTTCTGAAGAAGAGTCATGCTGGATTCAAAACATTTAACTCTGTTTCTCTCTCCACTGATGCTGCGAAACCTGCTGAGTTCTCCAGCACTTTTCTGTTTATTTCACAAAGGTAGCTTGTCAGATGACTATCATGTAGTTGTGAGAGTTTGTTGTGTGCAAGTTGGCTGCCACATTGCCTACACTGCGACTTCAAAAGGTACATCATTGACTGTCAAGTGCTTTGAGACATGTAGTGGTTGTGAAAAGCGTTTATACAAATGCAAGTCTTTTTTAAAATCCTTCATTTGATCTGTACTTAGGCTGCAGAAAAGATCGGTTATCCAGTAATGATTAAAGCATCTGAAGGTGGTGGAGGAAAAGGCATTCGCAAAGTTGATAGTGCAGATGATTTTCCTAACCTCTTCAGACAAGTAAGTCAAATTTTACAATATATTATCTCTAAGTTGCAAGATGATAATGTTACTGGGCTAGTAATCCAGAAGTATCCAGACTAATGTTCTGGGAACTGAATTCAAATTCATACGATGGCAACTGGTGAAGTTGAAATTCAAATAATAAAATCTGGAATTGAAAGTTAGTCTCAGTGATAGTGGACATAAAACTATCATTGATTGTTTTGAAAACCCAACTGATTCATATATTTCCTTTAGGAGAAGGAAATCTGCTGTCCTTACTTAGTCAGACCCACAGGAATATGGGTGGCTTTCAGCTGCCCTCTGAAATGACCAAGCAAGCTGCTCAGTTCAAAGACAGTTAGGGATGGGCAACAAAAGCTGCCAGTGACATCCACATCCAGTGAAAAAACTTTTTTCTTTTAAGAAGTAAATTGTGGTATTTCAACAGTTTTAACATACCATGGTTTCCTGTTTTGAAAATGTAACCTCAAAGTATGCTTCCTGCAACAATTTAAATGGACGGTAAGTGTGCATTATTCTGAAATACAATGCTCTGACAGAGATGTAACTTTGATCTTAATGAGAAAGATGAGCTTGAATAGATGGATATGGATTTTATCACATTGACAGCGCCACAGTCAAAATCACTGAAATTTCCATAATCCCATTAGGGTTATGGATTGCATTACATTGCAGTTGTTTGGAAATACAGGAAATTTGTTTGTCAAAAAGCTATTTTTCATTTAAATAAATACTTTCCAGAGTCACAACATTGTTATGGTGCTAAAGGAAGCCTTAGAATTCATTGTCTCTGCATTAGAAATGGATTGAAAATTTTAAATGGATTCTACTTCTAATTGGATTTTTAAAAAATGTTCATATTTTAGTAGATCTTCCCTGCCATGTCCACAGCAAACGTGGCGTTACCATTCTGTACAAAATGCAATGACCACTTAAAATACAAATAACTTTTCAGTAAGTTTTGTCTTATCCCTGCTAATGGTAATAATGAAATCTGGCTTGACAGATCATATGTTTAAATTTTGGCAGTTGGCTTACAGTTTAACTTGCACTTGCTCCAATCGACTGCCATGTTATAACAAACAAAGTGCCGCACAGAATATCATCAACAGGCACTAGTCACATATATCCTTTGTCCACAGACTTTGGCACCCAACATTCTCCAACCCCTCACAACTATCAAGGGACCTCTCCTATACACTGGCAGGGTTCTTTCAAAGAACAAACTTTCTTTGCAGGTCACAACAACAACAAGCATTAAAAGGCTCCAGAAGAGACACTTTGTGCAGAGAGACAGGTGCCCAGCTCAAGGATTGGATCAACTGCATCTCAGGACTGCTTGTTTCTCCTCCCAGTATTCCCTTACTTCGTGCCTACCTGCATGCTCACATCATCCCTGTCTTGCCATGCTTAGCCTTGCTGTGCCAGTTAGTGCATTTACACAAGCAGGTAGTTCGTCAGAGATAGTAGGAACTGCTGATGCTGGAGAATCTGAGATAACAAGGTGTAGAGCTGGATGAACACAGCAGGCCAAGCAGCATCAGAGGAGCAGGAAAGCTGACGTTTTGGGTCTGGACCCTTCTTCAGAAATGGGGGAGGGGAAGGGGATTCTGAAATAAATAGAGAGAGAGGGGGAGGCGGATGGAAGATGGATCAAAGGAGCAGATAGGTGGAGAGGAGACGGAACAGGTCAAGGAGGCAGGGATGGAGCCAGTAAAGGTGAGTGTAGGTGGGGAGTTAGGGTGGGGATGGTCAGTCCAGGGAAGACAGACAGGTCAAGGAGGCGGGAATGAGGCTGGTAGGTAGAAGGAGGGGATGAGGGTTGAGGTGGGAGGAGTGGATAGGTGGCAGAAAGGACGGACAGTTTAGGGAGGCAGGGACGAGCTGGGCTGGTTTTGGGATGCTGTCGGGGGCGGGGAAATTTTGAAGCTTGTGAAGTGCACATTGATACCATTGGGCTGCAGGGTTCCCAAGCGAAATATGAGGTGCTATTCCTGCAACCTTCGGGTGGCATCATTGTGGCACTGGAGGAGGCCGAGGATGGACATGTCGTCCAAGGAGTGGGAGTGGGAGGGGGAGTTGAAGGGGGAACCTACGCTCGGTTCACGACAAACGACTGCACCTCCCAATCGCGAACCACTTCAACTCCAGTACTAGTCCTGGGGCTTGAACATGGTCAGGTGTTGCCTTGGGGTCAGGTTGGTGAGAAGTTGCCTCTGTAGTCCAGGAAGTGGGTCACGGTCAGTCCTGATGCTCCATGGCAGCCAGTCCAGATATTAGGGCTAACACAATCAAGGAAATGTGCAGCTATCAGTCATTGGTTTGGACATTTCTCATCTGAGGCTACCCAGTTGAGTCACTTAAGACGGTGCACCACAGTCAGTCAGTTTTGTCCGCAAAAACTTAAGGGAAAGGGGGTGGGGGAGCAAGGGTGGCCATTGTTGCTGGAATGAGATTGTGCAAGTTAGTCTTCAGGACAGGAGGCTGCACACTGGGGTGGGAGGGTGGATGACTATTGTGAAGTGGGTGGGCAACAGTATCTGCAAGGAGTGGGGGGAATATAGTAAAGCATGATGGGATAGGGGGTGATGTGGGAAGGGGGTTTATCCATAGTCAGGAGCACCCTGGCTTCAAATAGGGGATTTGTGTATGACCATACATGGTATCATTACCTCGTATGATAGAGGTTGAATGAGAAAGGTGGGCATGTGCAGGTGCATGTAGATGGACTGGTTGAGGACCTGTGTTGGGTGCAAAGCCAATGGTGTTCACTGGAAGGCCTATCAGTAAGGAGATTTGGATGTCTGGGGGACCACTGACCCATTGAGATGGAGGCTGTGAGCCATTTGCCCAGGAGCACATTCAATCACCTTCCATCGAATGTGCATGATGGGCAAGAAAATGGCTGCAATCAAACTTGATGTAGGCGGAGTAAATGACCTGACTTGAGGAAGGGAATTGCAAGACCCACCAATGATTGGGCTTCTAATGGGAAAGAATGTAGCGCACAGATTCATGCACCGTGCGGGTCACAGAACTGTGACCTATTCCCTGGCCATCCTAATGCATTGCCCCCTTCTCAACTCCCTGCAACAGACATGGCTGAACAAACAATTGACAGCTACACATTTGGATGCAGAAATCATAAAAGAAAAGGAATTTTGTTAGAGGAGGGCCAAAGGTGTCAGCATGACCCTTTGCCCTGTAAGTGCCTTGTTCCTTTCACTTCCAGATGATAGAGCAAACACTCAGCGCAGACCTCCATCCATGGAACGTCATCAATAGTCACCACATGATGCCTGATTTGGGCTACAAGCATGTGTAAGGTGAATTCAATGACACATAAAAATGTGTAAAATCACTTACTGTACATTGGCAGCCATGCCAACAAAATGCTCTCAATTGGTCATCTTCTTCCTCTCCCTCCCACCTCATTTTAGAAAACTCCTGGATATGCAGCTGGTTTGGCAGTTGTGCCCATTGGCCCTGGAGATTTAGTTGGGTGCTTTTGTCTGGATGGGCCAGATGTGCCAAGGGTCATCTTGCCAGAGGCAAGTCAGTTCTCCTCAGTGCCACCTTCCACAGGTCAGAGGGAGATGGGCAGGGTGAAGGTAGTAGGCCTGTTCACCTCTGTATTGTCCTGAGTGGACACTTCTGAGAAGGCTACGCACAGTTCCTCCTCAGGCTGGGTGCTTCGTGATGCCATCCTGTATCCTTGAGAAGAAGGGCCACCTGGAGTGATCACTAAGTTTCTCATCCTGCTGTCACCAAGCCTTCAGCCTTGAGACCTGATAGTTTGAACACTGGAGTGTGGGTGTATGCACCTCTCCAGTAATCTCTTACGGTTTTGGACTTGGTTTTCCATGGTAGTCACTAATCTGTCCATGGAGGTAGGTAGACGGTCACATGATTTGCTGCACTGCTACAGCTTGTGGGCAATGAAGGGCATTGTGCCCCAGGTACTTGTCTATCATTCTTGTTTCTCCCTGTGCATGTGGATGAAATCGTTAATTTCCAACATCACAGTGTCATCTCCTGCCTGCGGCTGTGTAGTTGCCCAGCCTCCGGCAGTTCCCCAAATCCCAGTAGCCTGAAACATTTTCTCGAGCAGCAATGGAGCTGTCACCGTGAGGCGCTTATCAGATTGTGGTCCCTCACTCTTTAGGGTGAATATTCTCAACATGATGTCAGTATCTGGGATGGTGGGGATGCAGAATACAGCTTTACACGGTACTCTCATCCTCAGAGTTCAAGGAGGTGACTTCCAGAGGAGCTGGGTGATTTCATTATGATGGTGGTAGACGTCCTGGCATTACCTATCAGACAAAAGAGTGAGAAGGTGTTGCAGTTAGCAGTGGTATGCAATGGATGACACCAACAGCAAGGTTATTGTAAGAATTGTATTGGAATGAAGAGCAATAGTTATTTGGTTGACAGGCATGGATGTCTCAGCATTGCCTTAACAAGTGTCCTGGAACACAACGGCCTTTTAAAGATGGAAGGGTCTCAAGGGGAGCCAGTCTTTTCTGTGGCTGTTTGCTCAATGGCAAGCCTTTCTGAGAACAATATGTGGTGGGACAGGACTTGAATTGGACAATAGGCAGGTTTGCTAAGATGCCGCGAGAAAGCTCTCTTGGCCTCATGGTGGAGATTTCTCCAAAAAACTCTCAATTTGGCCAAAAGAAGAAGATTCAGCCCTGTGCCTTTTCTTATCTAGTCTAGAGTTAATAAGAAAACATGTATTCCTATCCTCCCCAGCCAATATTTCCCCAGGGTGACCACTGAATTTTAATGCAATATTCCATTACAGATCTGAACATCTGCAGGGTATTGTCATTTCCATTATGCAATGCATAAATAAACTATAGATTAGAAAACTCCATGAATGCTGCTCACATAAGTATAGTCCATTGACAGTCAATTTAATGTAGTACAAATTGTCACAGGAGGGATTTTCTTTTGCAGATACTCTCTCTTCTGCTCCATGAGATGAAGTTCTATCCTATGGAAGTAGCACCTACTTGGTGCCTTTCCTAATTAATTGAATCCAAGAAATAAATGTTTGCACCCACTACAGAGCTAATCCTTGTAGCAATGATGTTGTATACAAGCCATAAATAATCAGTTTTCATCTGTATTAATGAGAATATGCATGACATAAACTGCAATGAAATTGAGCCTCTTAAAGTGAAATGTTACTATATTCCTGTGGTGAAATAAATCTGTAGTTTTATTCTGCAGGTTCAGACTGAGGTTCCGGGATCTCCGATTTTCGTCATGCAGATGGCCCAACATGCACGACACCTTGAGGTGCAGATCCTGGCAGACCAGTATGGAAATGCTATCTCATTGTTTGGGAGGGATTGTTCCATTCAACGTAGGCATCAGAAGATCATTGAGGAGGCACCTGTTACTATAGCAACTCAATCAGTGCTTGAGTATATGGAACAGGTAAGTATTAATTTGAGAATTGGAGTTGGACTTTGTGCTCAAGTAGCAGTTAGTTTACAATGGGAAAGTTTTGCAGTGGCATTTGTGATTTCAACATTGCTGTTGGGTAAACAGTCTTGCAACACAGCTCATCAGGTCATTGTACTCATGAAAGAGAGATAAGACCATCAATACCTCAGTGCTTTTGATTTAATATATTTGAACGTTGCTCTGGATTTTGCAATCACTGGCAATGGAATGGCTCCAGTTATTTGTTAAACTTAGATTTGGCCATAAACTTTCCACAGTTATTTTTACTGGAACAAGTGGTGATCAGGAATCTGTTTCATCCCTTTACAGGAGAATCTGTGTGAACAGGGCATGCAACTCATTAACCAACCTGATTGAAGAATCCTTAATAAGGTGCTCAGAAACTGAATCAGGAATTTTAAATTGAAACAGTTAATTCAATGCCAAGTTGTGAAGAGGAGACAAAATAAAGAAAAACAAAAAGACTTCCATTTATATTACACTTTCTTACAACTACCAAAGACTCAAATCACTTTACATTGCTTACTTTTGAAGTGTTACCACTATTGTAGGAAATGCAGCAACCAATTTTGTGCACAGCAAACTTACACAACAGCCATGTGATAATGAGATAGTAGGAACTGCAGATGCTGGAG